ATTCCAAATCCATTGTGGTGGTGTATAGAGCCAAAGATGTTAGAATTGTGTCGATGTCCCAATATTTCTGGACCTGACTATGTTTTCTGTGCTGAAAGCCTCAAGTTTCCAGTTAAGAACTGGTAGAAAATACTCCCTGAGATCTGCAACGTATCAGAACAGGCAATACTGAATAAGAGTAATATTTAGTCTGGTCTTTTGTACAGAAGTTCTATGCCCCTAAACTAGGTGGTTTCTACATTTTATTTTTTAATTGATTGATTGTTAAGGATACTATCTATTTTTTTCATGCTACTATACAGTTGCATTGGTTTTGGGGGATGCTTAGACAATTTTATTCTGGTCATAGGTAAGCCTAGCTTATCAAACACTTCAAAGAATAAAATAAAACACTTCATTTTACTTACGGCATAATAATAAGAGAGAATAATACATCTTATCTCTATCACAATCAAATAGGTTTTGAGTCAGTGCTACCATGGTTTCCAAGCCGTCAACCTTTAAAATAAAAATAGAACATATATAACATCTATATATTTTTCTGTTTACATTATTAAACATATATTATATTTGTATCTATGGGCAATTATGCAACTTCCCTGTCTGCTCTAAACCATGTTGACAAAGATGTGAACAGGATGATATAACTGAATGAATTATATGTTTTCTAAATATGGACCAACGTTTTAGTAATAATTTTCATAGTTATGAATTCTTATAAGAATACATACAAACAAAAAGAACTATAAAAATATTCAAAACATTATACACAGATATTTCAAAAAGTTTACATAGCTTCTGGACATTTTCTTATTACATAACTATATCTAATACAGCAATTTTCTTATTTCTGCATTAATAGTATTCATATATTTGTCCCTCAAAGGATTCTCTTTCAGCATGAATCCACTTTCATTTGCCTTTTGGTTTAATATACCAGCAACCTCTCCAATCTCTAAATATATATGCAGGTTTATCTGGGACACTTATTTGCCTTGTGGGAGAAATGGTTGATAGCACTTTTTAAAAAGAGAGATAGTACAATGTTTACTTGAGTCCTTAAACCTACTTTAGTTCACACAGCATGCAGTGCCTGCCATTTTTTCTCACTTCTACACATTGTGGGGTATCAGAGATTATAAGAAAAGAAGGAAGCACTTCAATGGGCTTTTATGGAAGTTGCAAGAGGTATCACTCATGGCTATCACTATCACAAATAGAGAGAATCACCCAGGGACAAAGAACTTGAAGGAAGAAAGGAGGAGCAACTTGCTTCCCATTCCTCAAAAAAGCCTAAACATGTAAACTCTCCAAAGGGATAAAGGGAGATAGTTGCTCCTCTTTGGCTGGTGATTTGCAACAGAGGTAGCAATAGCTCACTGATTGAATGAACTAACAAGACTTTGCAAAAATGGAAAGAGAGGAGAGTGACCAGAGCAGCTGTATGTTCTGAGGAATTGTCCACTGAGGTGTGAGGGAGGGACCATCTCCTGATAGGCTAATAGCAAGAGCTTCTGACTACCCAACAGGAATGACAGTGATTGGTTCCTGCCAAATAAGCAGAGATTGCAAGAGGATTTATTCTAGGTTTATTCCAGCCAATTCCAGATTCAAGGTTCTCTGAATGAGGTAACAGGAGTTTGCCAGGGGAGTTTAAGTGATAGTTCCAACAGATTTTCCCTCTAAGGCAAGAATTTGTACTTGGCTAACTTGAGAACCTGACAGGGGAACAAGAATGCAAGTTTTACTATTAGTGGTTCATAAGAAATAAAAATTAAAATGAACACAGCAAATCTACAACTGTGACTTGTAATGCTTGTGGCATGTTTGTCTTCCTGCCTGAAAATAACCTGATGAATATTTGAGAAATATTGAAGAAAAAGGCAAAAATTGAAGCTTCAACTGATAAGAATTGAATTTTTCAGTTCACAGAAAAGAAGCTCTTACAACAAAAGCCAACTGTGGAAGTAATTCTCTATCAATGAGACAAGTCTATTAGAAGAACAAGTGTGGTGGATGAGAGTAACAACTAGTAGCAAGAGACCCAGAAGATATTCAGCACTATTGAAATTCAGTTTTCAAACTCTCACAGGTGAATTAGGCTCTGAGTGTTCAAAAGAAAAAGAAACAATGCACAAAGGGACACGATGGCAGATCCCTAAAGGGCACAGTGGATGCAATTGTGCCCTGTAAGAAGACAAAGAGGAAAGTCATGGTAGTTGGTGACTCACTACTGCAAGGAACTGCAATAAATATGCTGACAGGATTCACTGACTCATGAAGTGTGCTGCCTGCTAAAAGCAAGGATCAGGAATGTGACAGAAAAATTTCAGTGTCTTATCGTGTTCGCTGATAATAATGCCTTCCTGTGAATCGTGTTGGAACAAATGATACTGCCTAAGGACTTTAAATTCTGAAGGAAGTTCAAGACACAGAGAATTCAGGTGGTGTTTCTCTTCATCCATCTAGTTTGTCCTGTCCCAAGCCAGATATCCATGTATATGGAGGAGTAATTGCATGAAGCTTTATTTAGATATAGTTATTTCAGGCAGCAGCAGGCACGGAAAAGGACAGAGGCCTAAGTCACCAAGAAAGATCATCTGGAATTGTGAAGCTGCTGTCAGGAAAGCAAAAGCTCAGAATGCACTGAGGCTAGCAAAGGATGGTAGGTATAACAAAAAGTCTTCTTCAGATGCTTTCAAAAGAAAAAGAGCCAGTATATTAGCTGTGCAATGAAGATGGCAAAATGGTGACAGGTAACAAAGAAAAGGCAGAGCTATTCAGCTCTTTCTTCTGCTCAGTCCTCTCTAACAAAAAGTATGTTTCACAGGGAAATTGTGAAGGGCAGGATGAAAGGGTAGGTTGATCCTTGAGACTGACAAAAACACAGTCAGAGAATATATCTTAACTTTTAATGAGTTTAAACATCCAGGGTCAATCAGTCTGACACTGATTACCTGGGAAAGTCAAGAGCTGAACATACTGTAAAGAAATTGATCTCTAAACATCTTGAAAGCAATACAATCATTAATAAAAATCAGTATGGATTTGTCAATAATAAATCTTGCCAGACTAATCTTATGTAATGTTTAAATCAACTATATTCCTTAATAGATTGTGGGAATGATGTAGGCATAACATATCTTGATTTCAGCAAGCATTTGACAAGTACTCTGTGACACCCTGATTTATAAACTAAGTAAGTGTGGGTTGGATTGCATGACAATTCAGAGACATATAGCTGGCTTGAAAATTAAACTCAAAGAACACACATCAAGATAATGGAAGCAAGGTTTTGGTGGGGTGCTGCAAGGATCTGTCCTGGGTCTTCTACTCTTCAATATTTTTATTGACAGAATGTTAATCAAATCTGCAGATGCAAAATCAAGTGGGATAGCAAATACTGCAGGAAACATATTTTAAAAAGATCTTGACAAGTTAGAAACTGGGCTTGAAAGTAACAATGACAGAAAAGGGGAAAATTCATAATTTAAGAAAAATTAAATGGACAGAATGGATGGCTTGGTAATGGTACTTGTGAAAAATTTATTGGAACATTAGTTGATCACAAGTTGAGTATCAACCAACAACATGATGTGGCTGCAAAAAAGATTAAATTTTACTCTGTATCTATTAGAGGCATATTATAAAAATTATGAAAAATAAATATTCCATTTTATTCTTGCCTTGCTCATAATTTCTAGGGCTACATCCAGTTCCAGGCACCACCCTTTAAGTAAGATGCAGAGAAACTGGAACAGCTTCAGAGAATGGCAACATGGATGATTAGGGAATGAGAAATTTAAGTCCTATAAATAAAGGGCTGGAGGAGATGGGCATGTTTGAAATTGAAAAAAGATGAGGCGGAGTGGAATATAGCAGTTTTCAAATACAAGAAATAACAAACACAAAAAAAACTTGGTTTAAGTTACAGGAAGGGAGATGCTGTCAGAATAAGCTTTCTAACAGTAACAGCAATTCCACAGGGGAACTCCATTTCTCTGGATGTGTTCAAGAAGAGCCTAGACGGCCTTCTATGGGATTCTTGCACTCAGCAGGAAATTGGGCGTGATGGTCTAAACTGCCCTCTCCAATTGCATTATTCTGTAATAGCTATTTTTTGGCCAGAAATAGTCACAATTCATGTAAAGGGTAAGTGAAATAGGGGAATAGTGCTCACTACTGATAAGAAAAATAATAGTGCCTTGAAAATAATCTAAAGGATAGGAAATCAAGAATAACTAATTACAGAGCAATTACAATACTGCCATCTGGAAGCTGGATTAGACAGTATTCAGTGATCACTGCAGAAAGTAATCTATTTGTATTGTCGAAGGCTTTCACGGCCAGAATACAATGGCTGATGTGAGTCTTCCAGGCTGTGTGGCCGTGTTTTGGAAGTTTTGGTTCCTAACGTTTT